TTTAAAAAATATGTAAATCTCAATCATTAAAAATAGCAGAATGAATCATTAAAATTTTGTGTAAATGTAGTGTATAAAATTTATATATAAATAGATTCCTAGCCATATATGAATTTAATGCATTTTATAATTTAATCTCTTATCCCTTCTTGGCCAAAAGGATTTGTTTGGTTAAATCATGAAAATGATTTGTAATGTAATATCCACACTTGAAATTTATAGTATATTTGGTTTGAAGGGAGAAAAAGACTGAAAAGAATCTTTTATTTGGTTTCAAAAAATTCGAAAGGGAAGGGAAGGAAGAGAGGTCATTTATACAATTTTTTCTTTTAGTTATTTCACTTATCTAAATTAAGGAAAGAGGACGGAAATGAAGCTACATTGAAGGATATGATATCTTGGCATTCACCTTTTTTTTCCTCCTTCCATTTCTTTCAAACTAAATATTTAAAAGATTTTTAAGTTTTTATTTGATAAATTAATGATAAAATTAACATTATGAAATATCAGAGTTAAAATTTAAATTTTTAATTAATTGAGTTATTTTTTGAAAGTTACTATCCACTCTTATATAATGTATCATCAAATATACTAAGAAGTCTATTAAGTTAATAAGAAAATTCCAAGGAAACTTCCTACCAGAAAAGTCAAGTAAACGTTGAAGGGGTAATCCACGGGAAACAGCAGGGATGATGAGCGTAAGATGTTAGGAAAATGTAGTGGAAAATGAGAGGCGACAGCCATCATCCAAGATGTCCAAGAAATTAGTGGAAAACAACAAAGTAGTACTTACTGTGATGATGACAACAGACAATGTCGTTTGGGTTGGGCTTAATTTCACACCACGAAAAATTTCAAAAACGGGTAAGGTACTCAAGACACCATTGGATATTAAGGAAGTAGAACATTCTTCATGTGTTTCGTTTGCTTTTTAATCTTCGTGTTAAATGTGTAATGACATGATGTAGGGTTGATTGAGGTGTGCAAAGCAAGCAATGGAGCATTTGGGGCCCTGTTCTACCCACCATTTTTGACCTAATTCTCAATCTTTCTTTAGTCTTACATCCACTTCCAAAACCACTTTTTGTTTGGTCTAAGATTTTGGCTCGTGCTGCCAAGTGGCATGGGAATTGGGTTTATCTGGGGTGGTACGTCTCTATTTTTCCTATTAAAAGTCTATTTCGCTTAATTTTTTAACAGATTTTTTCGGTGCAAAAAATGGATATTTTGCAGCTTCTAAGGGTTTAATGGAAATTTTTGTCTAATTTTTAAGAGAGTAAAAAGTTATATACATATAAATTTTATATATCATATTTATATAAAATTTTGATAATTTATCTTTTCACTTTTAATAGTTAAAATTTATTATTATTTTTTAAGTAAAAAAAATAATTATCTTTAATATATATAATAAAAAATAAATAAATCTTAACTGTTAAAAATAAAAAATAAAAAATAAAAATTTTATATAAATATAATGTATAAAATTATGTGTAAATAAATTTCACATTCTTTTTAAAATATTATTTTCAACTTATAAAAATCAGAAGTTTCAAATCTATTATCTCATGAATAGATCTTTTGATGTTAACTTTTGAATTTAATAACTTCTATCAATTTTAAAAATCTTAATGCTTGAGTTTTATAAATTCATGATTTAACACCTCCATATGAATCTAGTTAGAGTTTCTACAAAAGCTACACAATTAGATCAAACACACTCTAAAATTGTTCAGAAAGATGGAGAAAAGAGGCAGATTCTCCCTCAAGTAACCAAGGTTAACGTCTGCAATCTGGTATGTTTTCATTTGCTTGGAAGTATTGCAGACACAATTCAACCTTAAACCTCTCAGAATCCAGGGTTGATGACAAAATCCAAAACCATTTGTAGTTGTAGTATCAACCAAGAAAGATGCAAGGACAGTAAAAATATGAAGGGTAGCTGACTGTAATAGATAAATAGAAGTGAAAACAGCAGTCATTTATTGAAAAATAGAATTTCATGTCATTGATACACAGACGGTCTCTTGGGAGTTCTTTTATTTTTGCATTTCAAAGTATAAATCGGAGGAAAACCTGCCTTATAACCTGGCTACAGGGCCTACAGCACGAGAAGGATCCCAATCAGTCACAATATGGTTACGGGTGATCTCCTTTAAGGAGCGGCAGCCGCTTAATGCCATGGTAAGCTCAAACTCATTGCGAAGCATCTGGAGTACTTTCCTGACACCAGCTTCGCCTTCAGCAGCTAATGAGAAAACCACTGGCCTTCCAATCTGAAATGAAGACAACATCCTTTGTGTTAATATCTGCCATGAGAGTTCTCAGGGACCAGCTACAAGAAATTTTTTTTTTTTTTTTTTAACTTGAGTAAGAATAACTGTTAACATTTTGTTAAGGTGACTTACAAATATTCCAGATGCTCCCAGAGCCAATGCCTTGAAGACGTCTGTTCCACGCCGAACACCACCATCAAGGAAAACAGGAACTCTGCCTTGTGTAGCTTTGACAACCTAAAACAAGAAATAGTAGAGATACAATCATGGGAGACAACAACCTTTTTCAATTGTTGTTTTTGTCATTGAAACTCTAGTAAGGTGCTCAACATGAAAGATGAAGTAATCTTTTCATGGTTTATGATAGGGAGAAAACATAGCAAAGAAAATGAAAATTTGTCACATTAGGCCATCAAAGCTTCATGAAAAATGTCATGAAGGATTCAAGACAACATAAAACTGTCACGACTTAAACTTGATGCTTGTAAATTCTAGCTTTAATGTCCAAAAAAGAGCAAAGATACCTCTTCCAAAGCCATAATAGTTGCAGGCACATAATCAAGCTGGCGAGCTCCATGGTTGGACACAATGATTCCAGCAGCTCCAGACTGGATGGCTAGCCTTGCTGCATTGTTAAGTACAGTTACACATGTTAGAAAGGGAAAAAAAAATGAAACCAAACAAGTAAACAGAATGGAGGAGGAAATTCTGTCATGTTCTTATAGAACAGTTTGCTTGCCATCCTCAGCAGTAAGGACACCCTTCACTAGAATTGGTAATGAGGTGATTGTCTGAAGCCACTTCACATCCTGTTTTATTTACCAAGGGGAAAGAGAAATTTTCACAAGGTTTCTCCATTAAAAGTTGAAAAACCTAAGAACTAAGATAGCCACTTACTTTCCAGCTAAGTGATCGATCAATTTGACTGGCAACATATGAAGCCAGACCAGAGTCATTGGTCTGCAAGGAACAATGACAGTAGAAGATTAGATAAACAGAAGACCGTAATCAGTTAGCTACAGATCTGAGATCACTCACCCTATCCATTTTGCCAATATCCAAGCCCTCAAAGTTCTTCAAAGTCAAATATGGTGGCAGGGTAAATCTGCCGGCAAATCCATGAAAGAAATGAAAACATTCTAAAAAATGTAGGATGGCTTCATTCTAGTCAGTATTTTCTTCTCTTGTTCAGCAGAGAGAATGTATGAAAGAGACAAATATTAACACCATCAGTCTTGGTTAACATGCCATTCAATTGAGACACCAAAAAATCTACATTTTTCATGGCCATATTTCAATTAACTTTAATGTTATGCTCAGAATAAATGTTAACCTGTTCTTGATGTCAGCTTCCCTGCGACCCAGCCTTGGAGTATCTGCAGTAAGAGCAATTGCCTTGAAACCTGCCCTTTCTGCTCTTCTAACAAGCTGTACAACCACATTCCTGTCTTTGTGCACCTGTGTAATAAGTAACCATCATTGATTATGCCATAATGTAAATTTAGGGAATAGAAAGGAAGCTTGGTTCAATTTATTGGAGAGAAAATTAACATTTGTAATTTGTAAAAAATATCTCATTTCATTTTCACGTAAGGAACACCAGATAATTGTATCACACTCCAAAGACAAAGGGAAAAAGAGCGCAGAAAACTTAAAGATAGTCTCTGTACTTACATAGAGCTGGAAAAACCGAATGCCAGGTCCTGTTGAAGCAACCTCTTCAACACTGGAAGTAGCCCATGAGGATAGTGTCTGATGCAAAAAAATACAAGAAGTAAATGAATCAAGCAAAATGCAGATTGTAACTTCCATTATGACAAGAAACACAGAGCAAAGCTGATCATTATAACTTAGTGGTAGCAAGCTAACTTTAAGAATGAGTTCATAAATACAAAATCCTTAAGAGTAAAGGTAAGGCAATAAGAAGCAACCATTATTGTTCCTGCAGCTGAAGCTGCTCTTGCCGTTGCATACTCCCCTGCATAAAAAATTAGTCTGACAAATTAAGATATAGATCAAGGCCTTCCTTGTTTTTCTAGCATAGAAAATGGTGGCAGAAGAAGAGAGTTAATGAGATCCGGAAGGAACCACAGCAATTTCTACGTTAAATAATTTAAAGCTTTTGAAAGTTTTAGTCAATCCTCAAAACTGAAGTATACCAGCCAAAATGGTGATGCTAAATTGGGCAAAAAGGAGAGTATTAATCTAATTCAGATCTCTCTAAACTCCAAAGGAGCAGACGGGAAACAGTTCATCACAAACACCCACAAATACTAACAAGAAAGTTAATTTAAATTCTTCTGGTCATATGGCCAGTAGGGAAAAAATCAGAAGCATCTACCGTCAGGGTGAGCCATTTTCTGCATGGCTGTTGGGGCAATCATTATTGGCATTGAAATCTTGAATCCCAAAACAGATGTGGTCATGTCAATCTTGCTTACATCAATCAGAATGCGGGGTCGGAACCTATTTTTGGAAAGACATACGTTTTCAGAACTGAACATGATTAAAAGAAAAGACAACTTGTGAATGAACAGAAGAGCTTACAAAATCCTGGAGAATGCATTTCGATTCTCCTTAAGAGTCCACTGGTCCTCTGCTCCTGAAGCATAGTAGTCATAAACCATCTTGGGTAATTTCTCCTTTGCAATGGCCTCATACTCAGTAACATTAGTAATCTCCATCTTCTCTTGGGATACTTTGTGCCGCACCGAAGTACCTGAACAAAATTTCTGTAACATGAATTAGAACGGCAACAAGTCTATGCTCAGTTCTTCCCAAAACAATGAAACACATATCCAAAGTTGATAAGATTTGATCCAGATCCAACAAAGAATTTACATAATCAATCAATAAGTGAAGCCAAGTTTCTCCAAAATAGTATGAACAGCCAAGTAGAAGGATGAAAATAAAAGCAGCTCAAAGGAGAGGCAAGAAGTGATAGTTCATAACATCATAGCAGGTACAAAACTTTATTAAGGTTGGAATTCCGTTAATGCATCGTTGCTTCTGGGATCTATATTAGATTCACTATTGATTTATACTAGGCCTCAGAAATGCACGATTGTTAATCTAATTCGGTGATCGCTTATATGATATATCCAATCAAACATATAAATTTGAATACAAGACCAGCATAAGAATTTTACAGGAGCTGAATTAACTATTGGCTAAAGCTCATGACTTTAAACATACCCATCTGCACTAAATTATGCACAAAGCACAATCACTTAAATCAATACTATAATCAAATTCAAAGAACTGAAGACACAAACCATTACTGGGAATCAGTTCAAACCCATTATAACAGAGATAGTGATGAACACATTCACAAAAGTTATAAAACTATATTATGATCTCCTGATCACAACAAGGGCAGAGAAAAGAATGAAAAAGGAGAAGAACGAAGGAGGAAAGAACAGACCTTGGCCTCCTCCACCAACAGGGGGAGAGAGAGGAAGCAGAAGGGATGCAGATAATAATGGTGGTAGACTGAGAGAGAGTTGTGGCCTGTGACGACTCTAATGGACAAGGGACACCAGAAAACAGAGTGAATAGTGGGGCAGAGGAGAGGAATTAGTCATTGAATACGGAACATAAAGACAAAGCATGAGGATTTAAAAAAGAGCGATGACCGGGAGAACGGCTTAATTCAATTTTTAGTCCATTAACTATCACCTTGATTTTATTTTAGTTTAGAAATTATATTTTATTTCTAAGTGGTCTATTAACTTTTAACTTTCAGATTCATTTCAATTTCGTCTACTTAGTCATAGATAACGGAAAACTTTCTATTATATCAAAGAATAGTTAGTCCTCTAATTATATTTTTTTTACCTTTTAATCCTCAAATTTTATTTTTTTATAAAAATAGCTTGTATACTTAAAATTATTATTTTTAGGTTCTAATACCAGATTTTTATACTTAAAATTATTATTTCTAAGTGGTTTGTTAACTTTCAGGCTCTGATACCAAATTAAAAAAATAAGAAAACCCATATAAAAATCTGGTATCAGAGTTTATAAATAATAATTTTAAGTAAAAAAGTTATTTTTATAACAAATATAAATTTAAGAACTAAAAGATCAAAAAAATATAGTTAGAGAACTAACTATTCTCTATTCTGAAGTTTTCCGTTATCTTTCACCAAGTAGATAAAATTGAAATAAATCTGAAAGTTAATAGACCACTTAGAAATAAAACATAGTTTCTAGATTAAAATGAAATTAAAGTGATAGTTAATAGATTAAAACTTAAATTAAGCCCTGGGAGAACCAAA